TTGGGCCCAGCCCCCCACCCCGCACCCAGACAAGATAACCCCCAGCAAAAGCCCCCCCCCCCCGGGGACTGGGCCCACATGCCCTGCACAGGCCACCCAACTAGAGCATCCATCCTCCCTCCCACAAACTCATTTTCCTGGAAGTAAAAGCTGGGCCTAGGAGTGGCTTTCATAAACAGCCCAGATCTTTATCCTAATCAGAAAGCAGAACTGAACAGATGTCTGCGAGGCTACTAATGGACAGCAAACCATTGTAAAAGGCATGTAGATGGAAACCTAACAGGTTTGATGCAGATTATACAGTTTAAAGCCAATTCTACCAAACCCCAAGGAATTGTATGTAAACTCCCAAATTTTAGGAGATATTTAGAGATATCTCTAAAAAGTAATTTTCTTATTATTAATATGAATAATTTAGCTGATGCTTTCTGAGCTAAGAACATATTAAATAACAAACAGAGAGGAAAAACAAGAGTTGTTTATACAATTGTCTGATTCAGCTTCACTTCATTTGATTTTATGTCAACATGTGATATTAAAACAACAATTTAACAAATTAAGCAAAGGTTACTTGTTTAACACAGGAACTGAGAGGTACAACCAATCATGTGCATCTGCTTTTATATTTCCTTTTTGGTATTTATTCATGTTGTCCTTATTTGGTGTTGTGTGTAATGAAATAAGCACTGATAGGCTCCTTTGAAAAGTCTTCCTCCAGAATTAAGTATTAAAGAGCATGCAGTCTAAGGCAAACCTCTACCTCTAAAACAAAAACTTCACAGGGTTTGTTAACTAAATAAGAAGACCGCAGATCTTCATCTGATGTGAGACTCTTCAGTCATTTAAATACAGGTAAGCTGTTTATCTTATATATTATGTTCTCTTTATAAAGTATACTTACTTTTAAAGTAAATCTAATATTCCATATAATAACTATTCAGCTACATTTATGCTTTAAGTGTTTGGTTATTTTGGTATTTCTGGTAACAAAAACTGGCATATTTTCTTTAACTACAGCTTCCACCGTTCTCCTGCTGCATCAACAGCTCAAAATGGTAAAACTGAACTCAAACTTTTCTGTCCTATTAATCATAAAGTCAAAATAAGAATTTAACAAAACTATGAGACAATTAATTTTCTCGGAGGTGCAATTATCTTGTGAGATATGCAGTGTCAAGTAAACCAATTAAAAGCCTGAAATAATGGTTTGAAAAATTACCAAATTGTTTAATTAGGAAATCCTAAAAGAAAAAAGAAAATACAGTTCATTTTGCAACATTAAATACTGTTTAGAAAAAGTAGGTAGTTTCTTGGAGCACAATAAAAAAAAACAGCGATAGCCACAAGAAGCTAAGATTCTAAATGATTTTTCTTTTTCTGTAAGCCTGTTGCTTTTAAATACTAATATCCTATTTATTTCTTCCTGTGTTTAATGTTGAGCTAAAATTCCTAATCTGTCATTCACTACCCGTGTAGCCATTTAAGACAGCATTCAGATTAAAAGTCAGGTTGAGTTGACATTGTGTTTGTCTATTTCAGTTATCCTTTCTGTGGACCATATACTGGTCAGCATTTGTATTATTTTAACTATGAATATTTGAACATATATAAAACTTAATTCTTATTAGTATAATGTTGTTTTCTACTTTCTGAAAATCAGTTTCTGTTACAAAAATGTAATTTAGAAAATATATTGTTACAGTTAGGTCTAGGAGTGTGATTTTGAGCAGAGAGAATCTTATTTTAGTGATCTACAAATGAAACAACAGAGGAGCGTGCTTTTAATAAATGTAAAAACGGTCTGCCATAGCTCACTTCATATATACTTATGCATTAACTCAAGCATCTTCTCCCCTGTCATCGTCCTCTACTTTGTAGCTGTAGTGCTGTTTCTCTGTCTTTTAAACTCATTCTACTTTTTTTTATTGAATTTATTTTTATCATTTCAGTTGGGTAAAATATGCACTTCCTGTTGCCTGTTGTCATGGTGACTCGTCTAATTGGTGCTCCACTATAATGGCTTTTCATACTTGTTGCGCACATGTTTAACTCTGAAAGGTTCTACTTGGAGTTAATTAAACTGATTCATAGCAGCTGTTGTGAAATCAAAAACTCAGAGTTCACGGCATTAGGCTAGATCAATTTAGAGTTGCAGATTTTAATCTGAATTTGTTAAACCTGCTTTGTGAAACGGACCCCTGGACTGATGTTATCTCCTTGCAAGGTTCTCCAGACTCCAGCTGATTGATATTCATATTGCAAAAGCTCAATATCAATTTCTAACTTCCAACTTGGATCAATTTCAATAAAGGAACCTACAGAATTATTAAATTATTCATTATTATTCTCCACTTGCTGTTGTGTTTATCTTATTCAGTCTCAAGATGCTTGTAAAAACTAGGTGTCCACAATTTCAAAGAATTCAACTTTTGTTACTGTTAAAGATTAAAACAATCATTGAACCTTCTCTAATGTGAGGTCATAATGGGTTCCCCTCACACTTTCTTTGTCTTTTTAGCTCACATCTTTTCTATTTTATCATGGAAAATCAGTTAGTCTATCACATCAAACACGCTTTCATGCTTTTCGGCCAAATTAAGGCAGTACAACACTCTTTTCTGATTCCAAACAGAGCCTATTTATTTCTCTCAGACATTAAAAATTATTCACAATGGCGTTTATTTAGCTAGTGTCTGTTATTTTTTTCCTCCATCAGCTGTCAGTCATATATGTCCTCCTTGCTAATTTTGTTAGCTTTCTGTTATACCATTTAAAAAGAAAAATACCCAAAACAAAAACTCTTGCAAGTTCTTTTATTTTCTCTTCTCACAAGGGAAATAGGCTTCTTTTTAGATCATTTTATTAAAGATCAGAGAGTCATTTAAATTTAATAGTTCACTTTGGCAGAGAATTATTGAGTAACTGGTTACCAGCAGATGTGCGTCACCTTTTTTCGGAAGGCATGTTTAGTTTATGTAGTTAAAGAAGGAAGAAACTATGTCCTTTTTTTCCTACAAGACTTTTGGGCTTTAAACCCACAAAATCTCTTGATTGTTTAAACTTTGGAGATTAAATCACCATTCGTCAGACTTTTTGGATCTTAATCAGATTGCATTTTACTTCTTTTCAATATGATTGTAAAACTTGCGACTCCTCTAAACAATTTTCTCTCTCTAAAATTATTAAGAAAAAAAACCTCAGAACTTAGAACTAACAAAACAGCTCAAGTGCTTTAGGAATTAGGAGGGATTACAGTCAACTCAGTGAGTCAACGCACTCAGTAGGTTTTTAATATATAAAAACTTTGAACCAATCTGACTGTATGATCTGGTTGTATTTTCTCTGTAAAGTGCCTTAAGATGACATGTGGTGTGAATGGGTGCTATATGAATAAACTGAACTGAATTTAATTAAATGCTATGATTACAAACAGCCAACCCCCAAAATTAGAAAACGCACAGCATTGTCCACCTCAGCATTGTTGGTGTTTTTAAAAACAGTTCACAGGCCATTGCAATATTTCACAATTTTTCACAATCCTTGGGGCAAAAAATACTTTTTTAAAGCATGCCTAGTTGCAAAATTAATGTGGCATAGAAAAGCAAAAAAAAAAAAAAAAAAAATTAGATGCAATGATAATTTCACATTTAGAGGTTCCGTTTTTCTATATGTGAAAGTTGCTTAAGCCCCTGTCACACCTTGATGATTTATCCAGCGTATGCCTGACGTCCCAGAATCTTCTAAAACGCTGGCATATGCTGAACTTTCTATGTATTTTTTCAATTTTGGGTGTACACATAGAAAATACATAACAAGTGCAGAACTTATGTCCAACGACAGCCTAACTAATACATAACGCATGTCAGCGTAATGCCCATGAAATGTCCTGAGGGGGAAGCAAAGAGCCCGGAGCCCAGCCTTCATCGCTGTATGTCGACGTGTGCCATCATGCTTCTGCATTATCATCACTTATAGAAAACTGACCAATAACTTATCCAACTTATGCCAGCATTTTTGACAGATTTTTCGTACGTCAGGCATACAATGGCTAAATCATCAAGGTGTGACATGGGGCTTTACCACCTGATCTCAGTTGGTCTCTCCATGAGAGTGCCCTTGTCGTTCTTTGAAATAAAACTGTGAAAAACCTCCTGTTTAACTGAACTAATAATACACTGCCATCCTAGAGAGTCAATTTATTAGAGGGACCATAAAGTGTTTGGAGAAACTAGGGACAAGGTTATGCTGCCCACAATTTTGTTTGAGAATGATGGGTGTTGTGGTGGGTTTTTGTCATAAGGTATTACTGTAGGATGAAATCTTAAAACCCATTGTTTGACCATTCCCTGGGTCAGTGAGTCCTTGGTGTTTCCTAGTGCGGGATAATGCCCGGTCTGATTTGGTAGTTGTATGCATGAAGTTGTATGAGTTGTATGTATGAGTTGTTCATGCAGGATGATGATACCATTGACTGATCCTGACCCAAATCCTGACTCAATAGAACATCTCGGTAACAATGTTGATGTCAATCTACACCATCTTATGAGGAACTTGCTAATGTTTTCATTCTTGCATTTAAGCACATGGGGGCCACCAAACTACCGAGTACTATTTTAAGTTGTTGTAAATTGACTGGCATGCCTGATCAGTTTTTCAGTTTCACTTTCTTTGTGGCTTCAGACTAACGTCAATCATTTCTGCTAAATGTAGCATATTTTGCTCCTAGCACTTAAACTGTGTGTCAGGCTTCTTCCACAGCTATACTGTGTTCCTTGGTCTTCTTTAAGCTGTTTGTCCATGTATGTCAGGAAATTTAACCTCTGAAACCAGAGAGCTGGCTCTATAGTTGAATTATATCACGCTTTCATTACTTTTAGCTCAGCAAAACAGCTTTATATGAAATTAATTCAGCAATGTGTTTTTAGAGACCAATCTGTGCAAACTTAAGAAAGTTAAGGCAAAATTTTATCTTGTTCATAACTAATAATACCTTTTATTTGTGCAACTTTTAGCTGTTGTTGATGTTGCTGCTGTCTCTGACTTTGGCCAGCCTTCAGGACAAAGTGGGGAACCAGTCAGCAAATGAAAATGGTAAGAAAAACTAGTTGAACGAGTCGACCGACCTCTTTCAACTCTTGAAATCTAGACTGTTGTTGGAGTCAGTGTGTTACAGAGACAAAAAGAAGTTTGCACCATAAAGATAAACTTTGAGCTTGAATTTTGTTAGAATTAGGATTGAAAATAAGGAAATGTGGCAAAAATGTTCAGAATGAACAGTGTAAAGTAAGCAGACAGCAGGTGTATGGTATTTATTGTTAAAGTGATTTTAATTTGAACTAAATATTTCCTCTTTTTGCAGTCTTGTCATTGAACCAGAATCCAGTTGATGGTGCTGCTAAAATGAAAGCTATCATATCCATCTCAAAATTTCAACATGTTCTTCCTCTTGCCAAATGGAGAAAGAAAAGGCCCGTTAACTCAAAGCTCTCCACACTACATGATCAAAGCAAAATGCGATGGGCAAAATGGGAGGGTTTCCTTCCTAATGGAGCTGTTTCGATTTATAACAACTATGTTGATCGCATCGACTATGTCTGCAAAGTCAGATGCCTTTCTGGCTTTTATACCCCCAGTATGGGTGCTTACTGCCATTACCCAGACAATAAAAAAGAACTTCGTTCCTCTTCATTTCAAATCCTTGTGAATGAAGATAATTTCGAGATCTTAGAGTGGAAAGAAGATTCTTATGGTTCTGTTCCCAAGACTGCAGTAAGTACCTGCTCCAATCAAAAAATCTATGTAGGAAAGAACAAGTATGGTCTGGGGAAGGTCGATCCAAAAGATGAATGCTTTTATCTTCCCTGGGAGGGTCAAGAATATTGGTACAGGCACTATGAGGTTCTGACCCACTGGAAGGCTGAAAAGGATCTCATCTCCTCTGTCAAGTACAAAACAGACCAAGCTAAGATTTTTAAGGAGCCTCCCAAAGCCCTCCAAACCTCAACTGCTATCAACTATAACAGCAAGCCTGTGAAGAAAACAGTTACTTTGACTAAGACGACCAAAGATGAGAGACGATGGGACACCAGCTCCTCCTTTACAGTTGGTGTGAGAGTGTCCATCAAAGTAGGTATTCCTCTGATTGTCGATAAAAGAATTGAATTAAGTGCTGAGACGACCCATGTGTTCTCAAAAGGAAATACCTGGATAGAGGAGATCTCCCACTCTGCCTCTGTAGAGCTTACTGTACCACCAAGCAGCAGCTGCAGAGTCAATATGGTTGCTTTCCTGTACAAAGTGGACATCCCTTTCACCGCCATCCTCAATCGTACTTATGAAGATGGAGAGACCAGATCCGTTGTCATCACCGGAACATATGATGGAGTCCAAACTGGGGAGATTATGACTGAAATTGAAGAATGTAAACCTTTATTCAAATCTAGGTCATTTCCCTATAAGATAAATGACATACTGAATTTGGGAAAAACTGGTATATTGTAGTTAGCACAACTTTACCAGGCATTCAATATAGACCTACAGCTGCATTTATGCTTTTTTCTCCATACTTTTTATAGATGTTCAATTCAATTTAATTAAATTCAGTGTATTTATAAAGCGCCATTGAGCACATGTCATCTCAAGGCACTTTACAGTTCACCAGATCATACAGTCAAATTGATTCAAAGTTTTCTATCTAAGGAAAACCAGTTGATTGCATGGACTCATTGAGTCAATGGCAATCCTTCAAACTAAGCACGCTTGTAGCGACAATGGAGAGGAAAAACTCCCTTTTAACAGGAAGAAATCTCCGGCAGAACCAGACTTGGTGTGAGTGGCCATCTGCAGAGGCCGACTGGGGTTCAAGGAGACAGAAGCAGAGATATAAAAGGTAACTGTAAAAGGCGGCCCCGTCCAGGAAACACTCAGCCAGCAGACAAACTCCGACCAAGCTCCCATGTCAGAGGATGAAGAGAACACTTCCAGCCAGTCACAGTCAGAGAAACAGGACTACACTGAAAAACAGGCTAATCTTCAACATCTATACACAACGGATTAGAAACATATTTGATAAAAGTGAATTTTGGCTGTGCTATTTAAATGTAATTTGTAAAGGTCCATTAAACATTCTCTTTTTCTATAAATCATACTATATATTCTTTCATATAATTAGCTTATTTACTTTTATTTTCTTTAATTACATGTGCTGTGAACAAGCCACTGCAGTCTTTTTCTTTTTTCTTACCTTAAGCACTTTGAATTGCCTTGCTACTGAAATGATAAATAGATAATAAATAAACCTGGCTTCCAATGTCCCTTTTGAGTCTGAAAATATTTTTTGCACTGGGAGTGATAAGCAGACATCAACAATGTCATACAGGTGCTGGTCATAAAATTAGAATATCATGAAAAAGTAGATTGATTTCAGTAATTCCATTTAAAAAGTGAAACTTGTATATTATATTCATACATTACATACAAACTCATATATTTCAGATGTTTATTTTGTTTAATTTTGATGATTACAAATGACAACAAATGAAAATCTCAAATTCATCATATCAGAAAATTAGAATATTACTGAAGACCAATAAAAACAAAGGATTTATAGAAATGTTGGCCAACTGAAAAGTATGAACATGAAAAGTATGAGCATGTACAGCACTCAGTATTTAGTTGGGCCTCCTTTGGCCTGTATTACTGCAGCAATGCGGCGTGGCATGGAGTCGATCAGTCTGTGGCACTGCTCAGGTGTTATGATAGCCCAGGTTGCTCTAATAGTGGCTTTTAGCTCTTCTGAATTGTTGGGTCTGGTGTATTGCATCTTCTTCTTCACAATACCCCATAGATTTTCTATGGGGTTAAGGTCAGGAGAGTTTGCTGGCCAATTAAGAACAGGGATACCATGGTCCTTCAACCAGGTACTGGTAGCTTTGGCACTGTGTGCAGGTGCCAAGTCCTGTTGGAAAATGAAATCTGCATCTCCAAAAAGTTGGTCAGCTGCAGGAAGCATGAAGTGCTCTAAAACTTCCTGGTATGTGGCTGCGTTGACCCTGGACCTCAGAAAACACAATGGACCAACACCAGCAGATGACATGGCACCCCAAACCATCACTGACTGTGGAAACTTTACACTGGACTTCAAGCAACGTGGATGAAGTGCCTCTCTTCTTTTCCTCCAGACTCTGGGACCTTGATTTCCAAAGGAAATGCAAAATTTACTTTCATCAGAGAACATGACTTTGGACCACTCACCAGCAGTCCAGTCCTGTTTCTCTTTAGCCCAGGCAAGACGCTTCTGACGCTGTCTGTGGTTCAAGAGTGGCTTGACACAAGGAATGCGACAGCAGAAACCCATGTCTTTCATACGTCTGTGTGTGGTGGTTCTTGAAGCACTCACTCCAGCTGCAGTCCACTCTTTGTGAATCTCCCCCACATTTTTGAAGGGGTTTTGTTTCACAATCCTCTCCAGGGTGCGGTTATCTCTCTTGCTTGTACACTTTTTTCGACCACATCTTTTCCTTCCCTTCGCCTCTCTATTAATGTGCTTGGACACTGAGCTCTGTGAACAGCCAGCCTCTTTAGCGATGACCTTTTGTGTCTTGCCCTCCTTGTGCAAGGTGTCGATGGTCGTCTTTTGGACAACTGTCAAGTCAGCAGTCTTCCCCATGATTGTGTAGCCTATAGAACTAGACTGAAAGACCATTTAAAGGCTTTTGCAGGTGGTTTGAGTTAATTAGCTGATTAGAATGTGGCACCAGGGGCCATCAATTTTGAACCTTTTCACAATATTCTAATTTTCTGATATGATGAATTTGAGATTTTCATTTGTTGTCATTTGTAATCATCAAAATTAAACAAAATAAACATCTGAAATATATGAGTTTGTATGTAATGTATGAATATAATATACAAGTTTCACTTTTTAAATGGAATTACTGAAATCAATCCACTTTTTCATGATATTCTAATTTTATGACCAGCACCTGTATACTGTCACCATCAACTGACAATATTTACTCACATCCTTCAATATGTAAGCTTCTGGAGCTTGAGTTTTTGCATCAGTAATCACAAGTCTTTGTTATACTCCACTTTTACTCATATCTTATCCCTCAAGGGTCCCATATTATGTAAAATTCACAGTATAATTATTTTGTAACTTTCATGTGTGTCCTGAAACCTGTGCAGGAGGATCACAAGTGATAAAACCCTTTCACTTCTCTCATTGCTCTCCACCTCTTAGCTGAAGTGGGCTCAAAAGGAGAAATGGGCTGTTCAGAGTGATCTGTAACAGCAGATTGGTAGAGCTCCAGCCCTCAACTAAAGTATTATACCATGCTCCTAGGCTATCTTTGCAAATTCTGACTGGTTGTAAAGGTTGCAGGTTGTGGGACGGGGCGTGGAAAGCCAAAACAGCTCATCCAGAGGAGGGCTGAATACGCAGCTTTTTGGTTCAGGGGAATTTTCTTGTACAAATGGGAAACACATGCTCTAGGGACCTGATTATTTAAATTATTTTATTTTTTTAAATGTAGAATAATATTGGAACTTTAAAGCATTAAATATTTGTTTTTTATTTTTCATGCCAAAGGGGCTACCTTTATGAAAATGCCCAGAGGAAACATTTATAGTACATAAAGAGATATCTCACTGCAGCAACCCATGCATCCCGGCGTCTCTTTGTTATGTCTGTGGTCCATATTTCCTTTTCTAAGTGGGAAAAGTGAAAAAATGTAAACTACTTTTCACTGTTTTCTGGTTGGAAGTATGATTGCACCCTTTGACGTTACACCAGTGCCCTATTTTGTCAAAAACAAGCCACTAAATTGTCTCAACTCTGTTTCGTTTGCTTCTGCTTTCTCCCCCATTAAAATAGTGCCAACTGCCAAAAATTAGTTGCGCTATTGCAGCCATGTTTTAACCAATCAAAGACTGATTTGTAGTTCATTGGCTCCACTTGCTCCTTCTACTTCTTTAATTAGTCATTGCACTTATGCACAAGATCTTAGAGCTTATGGAAAAACACAAAACCCTTTAAGCTTTAAAGATTACCGGTATATGTCTAAAAAATCCCAAACAACACCATTTGATCTTGATAAAATATTTTTTAAACACGTCTGTCCTGGTACTGCTGAATTCCAGCACTGGGAGCAATGAGCAGTGCCGCAGAACAGTCAGAAAACCAGATTACACAGCGACTTTATAAAGCTAGACCGAGCCTGAATGTGTTGCAATGCCTCGTCTATACTGGTAAAAGTCGAAGTAACAGCTTGACCTCTTTACTCAAGTATAAATGAAAAAGTATGTGCTCCAAAAACTACTTAAGGCAGGGTTCTTCAACGTTTTCCAGGCCAAGGACCCCCAAACTGATGGTGAGATGGAGCGGAGACCCCCTAATTATATATATTGGATGAAATTATGTTATATCAAACTGGTACTATAGTCACTCTATTAACGATGGAATAATGAAAAGTAATTTCCTGGGATTATTAAAGTATTTCTGATTCTGATTCCTCGTAGATGGAACAGGTGTTGTGAATGAAACGTTGTCCAGCTTGAAAGAGCTCCTGTGTGTCGCAGAATGTGTGCGTTGATGACTGAAAGACATCTTCTGCCTCCATTTATCTGTTTACGACAGTGTGATGAATTCATGTTAATGTGGATTTAAAGACATTTCATTTAGTGGAAAAAATTTGCAGGAGGCAATATAAAAAAAAAAGTCTAATTAACCAAAACTTTCGCGACCCCCATGCAGTACCTCCGTGGACCCCTCAGGGTCGCGGACCCCCTGTTGAAGAGCTCCGACTTAAGGTATAAAAGTATAAAGTCACCTTTTAATTCATATAGCGGCATCTGGCTATTTTTTAAAGATACATTTTTTGACTATTTAGAAAAATTCTTTGAGATAGGGCCAAGGATGAGGGAGGTCTTGTTGGTCTCCGTCTCCTGATACTTTCAGATATTTCAACATCTTTTTCTGAATCCAACATTGTAGCATGGCATAGACAATTCACGTTTACAGTTTGAAGAACACCTGCTTCCTTATTATGATTCCTTTGTCTAACCAATGAGTGTTTGCGTTATATCACTGATCCAATTACACTAGTTTTCACTAGATGTGGATGGTGCCAGTGATCTGCATTGGATGGCGCACATGACATGAAATAAATATTTATAAACATTAAAGGGTAACCAATTAAAATCAGCGGGGTCCGGATAAAGAAAGTCATCAACCCATAAAGGTCCGGAGACATTTTTAATGATTGTTACTTTAAACAGAATTGAACACTGAAATAAAATTAGACGTTTATGGATTTATGTTACACATAGAATTTTTAAATATAAAAAAAAATAGAAAAGAGTTTTTTGAAGTTCAGAATAACAATCAGTTTGGTATATAGACAATTTCCTGATTATCATATTATATAAAACACCTGAACTGACCATTTTTTTCTTTTTTCTGTCTTAATGAGAGCAGAGGGCTTTAAGCTGCCATGCAAGGCTATAAACCTGGGTTTGAATGGAGACAAAGCCATTCTAAAGCACAAATCAAGGTGCTCATTTTGAGCCTGGATCCATATTTATTTTTGATTAAAGTGCTGAATCCTGCTTCACAGAAGCAGGTTGAGCCAAACCTATTCTAAATGTGCAGGGTCCGCTCCGATCTGGCCAGGTCAAGATCAGGGGCGGAGCTACATAGGGGCCAGTCCACCCTTAGCCAATCACTGGCCACCCCTACCATTTTTCCCTCAAATTGAAGGTGTGATAAGATCAGCTTTCTCATTTCTTTGCAAAGATCATAAATTACCCACAGAGTGAAATCCATCTCATTTAACTTAACATGACTGCAGAGTTGAATACATTTTTCGCAAAAGTTTGCCTTTTATTGGTCTCCATTTTCTAATTGTAGCATTTCTCTGCTGCAGCATTTTTATTTGTTTTGCAAGTTAATTTTGTGTAAATGCAGTAGTTTGTTGCTAAATAATGTATTCCCAGGAAAAGAAGCATATTTTATATAAAAAAAAGAAAACATTCCTATGGGTGAAAGTTTAAATAATTTCAAAGTCTGCTGTAAAGAAACCATTAAAATCTTTTAACTATACATTTAATTCATTTTCAAAACATGAACATCATTCAATATTTAAAAAGTGTATCTAATGGCACATTTAATGCTCATTTCATAATTCAGTGATTGATCTAATTACTAAATTATGTATTAGCTAGGTTACATTTCATTATTTTAAGGGACATTTATATTTTTGTACATTCATTTGAATTATGTCTATTTTGACTTTCTGTACCCTTTT